TTAAAATTTGTTTAATTAAAATGTAATTTATTATAAATGTAATTTATAATGTAATTTATAATATATTGTATATAAATGTAATTGTATATAAATGTAATTTATAATATATTGTAAATGTAATTTATAATATAAATGTTATTGGACGATGTATGGAGTTTAATACGCACCGCGCGCAAAGCATCATTTTTTTTGAAAATTTATTTTTTATCAAAAATTGTTAACATTTGTTTAATTAAAATGTAAATTGGTATAAATGTTATTGGAAGATGTATGAGATTTAACACGCAGCGCGCGCGAAGCGCGCGCCTGTTATGTACTAGTATTTAAAAAATTGAAAATTTATTAATTATAATATATAATAACATTTTGATATTAATCTGAAATATTAATCTTTCCAAAAAAGATGATTTTGTAATTTAGGTATATTATTATAATTAAAATTACTTATAGTCACAGACGATAAAATTGTACAAGTACAAAGCAAAAGAATAATTTATCAGCTTTGAAAACTATTTGATTGAAATTTTACTTAAATATTAAAAATCACGCCCGAGAGATTGATAAAAGTCCGTCATTTAATTGTAAGGGATCAGTCTTAAAAGAGAAAGCTTGATCGCTCACTTGATTGGTTTGAGGTAGAATCAAATTAAAACTTTGTATTATCTCATCAAGTCTTGATCATGGCTATCAACCTTAATTTTGTGTTTTCAATTGCTTCCGACTCGTAGAGAACGAGAGAATTGAGAAGAGCATGGTACTTTTACGACTGTAGTATCGCGATACTCCCCTTATTTTTCTCCCTTTTTAAAATATATATTTGGCCATCTTGTTTTTAAGCGTCCATCATGATTAAATGAGTAATTAAAAAATATCACAGATAACAAACTGATGTCATTCTCGTCAAAATGACATATAATATCATCAAAATGACAACAAATAACATCAGCTTGCTATCTATAGCTCGGATATCTGAAGTGAGAGTCGCAAATGAATTTATTTTAAAGTGTCAAAAAATAATAATCCGGAAATTTCTTACTTGATAAAAAAAAATATTATGTATGTATACATGTAATATAACTTTTTACTACTTGCAATTAAAATACTAGTTACTTGATAAAAAAAATAATAATTGCCAAGTCTAAGCACAAGCCTAAGTTGTAATAGATTTAAATAAAAACAATTTAAATTGGAAGAATAAAAGGAAAAATGCAAACATATTTCTAAACAAATAGAATCATTTTGTTTTTTTTTCGAATAAATTAAATTTTACATTGTGCTCGAAAAAAATAATTTTGTTATACCTTGGTTATTTAAGTCACATACTTATTACGGTACATTTTTTATGTCAAGAGTCCACTTAAAAAATGATTGTTTATATCTACCTTTAAAAATTTTAAAAATCAAAAATATTCCAATATATATGTTAAATATATTATAAAGGAAATTTTGGGCAACTCGTAAATGAATATTTTTTCAAAACAAAATTGGAATTTTCAATCTAGCCAAATCATTATAAAACAAATAGATTTTTTAAAAATGGTTCCTTTTATAGTTAATTTTTCGATGTATTATTGTTTAATTCTTTGTTAGCGGTCATAAAAACATTTCTATTTTTCTTATATAAGGAATGGAGGATTTATTTACTTAAAATTTAAAAATTGATTTTTTTTCATACTACTACTATTAAATTTTTCTCTAAAATTAATGTTTTTATCTGAAAGTACGGAAAAAACTCTAAAATATTGTATGTATACAACGTTGTAATTTTAACTAAAAATGTTAAAAAAGAAAAATTTCTTAAAACGACTCTTCGGATATCTTGGATGCATCTTTAATCTAATACAATATGTGCACTAACATATGTTCATGATTATTTTAAAAATTCCAAACAGTTATTTTTAGGTGAAGCTTTGACACGTGGAATGTGCCATTATTTATTTAACAAAAATACTTTTTTGGCTTTAAAAGTTACACAATTAACATTTATTGAATTAAACTTTGTCCATAGAAGTTTGTTTCGAATCTGGATTGAGATTCTTTCCCTCTCTCTCTCTCTCTCTCTCTCTCTCTCTCTCTCTCTCTCTTTGTAACATCAGCTGGCTTACTGATGAACTTCAAATTAATCAAATCAAATATAGGATCAAATTGAGGGAGCTGAACTGTATCGTAACAAAGCTATAATTCGTCAATTAAGCTGATGCTCTCACACCATTAGCGATATTTTTGGAAATTTTTAACAAAAATTTATCTGCGGAATCAAATCGTAACATTGTTCGATTACATATATAAATTTACATTTGAGAAATAGAAAAAAATAAATCGATATTATATATCGGTTTTGACATACTGGATTCTGTTTAAATAAACAATACATTTTACTTGATTTTGCACGTTTCGGATCGTAATGAAAATGCGATTCGTCTTGTAAAAATTTCGATCATTTCGCCGATATAGCTAGTGTAGCACGATTCTAATATATAAATTCTTAATTTTATTTTTGTCCGACAATGAGAACAATCGGTATTAAATATTGCATACAATATATCGCTTATTTGTGAGAAATATTTCCTTGGATTTTAGCAATTTTTTCAGTTTATTTCTAATATGAATGTATAATTCTCGAATAGTCCGCGAGATGGATACTTTAAATTGAAAAAGTGTTTTTAGTTGTTTTGGTGACAATCAAAAAGTGATAAATTCATGTAAAGATGTATACTCACGAGTGCTATCGTAAGGTATTCCGTTGAGCTCGTCAAAGCAGGGGATAGTAGCCAAGGTGCCAGAAAGCGTCCGGGGCCAGCACAGTATGGTGTCCCAGCTTACTTCACATTCTTGCTGTTCCTGCCTCTGGTTTTCGCGTTCCTGATGTTGGCGTTCGAGACATTTCAACTGCTCAGCACTAAACGACTCGTTCAGTTCATTAATGTAGTTTAAAACATTCAATACGTAATTGCCGCCGACCAACGGCTTTGTGCTGTTTGCAGGGAACAAAGCCATGTTCGATCTTGACGTCGCGTCGACTCTTCGCCTCGTAGCTAGCGTTATTCTTTCCACTAAGATGCCTTGATTTGAGAAACCAAATGTATCTAGGAAATAGAAAGAAAGAACACCTCTAAGATTATGTAATATCTTAAATTCGTGACAATTTGAGTTTAAATAAAATAAAGTTGCAATATATCTACTTACACACACACACACACACACACGCGCGCGCATACGTACATACATACATACATACATACATATATATATATATATGTATAAAGCTTAATTTTTAGTTTTCTATATTTATTATTTACATTTACGTTATTTTTGGACTAAGATAATAATCACTACTGAAAAAAGTATACAAAGTATTTTTTTCTAGAGAATTTGACATTGGAGCCTTTAACATTGCAATGTCCATGTTTGGTATACGATTGCTTTCATCTTTGAGCACGGAGATTATGATAAATATACGAAAAGAAAGAGAGAATACTAAATGTGATGAAAAGTTGTGAAATATTTTCTCAAAGGTCATGACTTTATACAAAGATAGATATCGTTCTTTATAAATTGTCGCGATGCAGATGAAGAGGGGAAAGAGGAAACTTTCGGAATCTGTTATATAATACATGTGTTCGTTGAACTTCTCGCACAAAGAAGCCATCGCATAAGACGCGTCTTGAATGTACGTCATCCGATGTTCTCGTGCAATGTCGATAAGTTCAATAAGAAGAAGACTCAACATATCTTTTTGTTAACAAATTCATTCAGAGTTTAGTATTGTTGAAACTGTTCCCTAGGAATAATGGATGGACGATGAAAAAAAACTTTTTCATAAGTTGTCTTAAATAATTTTATATATATAAACGTACCAATCTCATCTTTTATTTTTAAATTTCTGTTAAAATTAAATAATTTCTTTTCACATTCTAGCTTACTGACAAATAATAAGTTTTAAAGAGGATTATGAATTTGAGAAACAACACATATTCCCATTGGATAAACTCACTGGAAACTCATTGAACAATAAACGTCCTCGTTAAGTGAAACAAGTGCGCCTAGTTCTAAATTAATTGAGATATGTTCTGTTTAATTAGGGGGATACTCTTAATTAGGAGGATTATATTCTATCTCATTAACGTTTTGATGTCGCGGCGCGTTCTCTTAACTTATTGTCGGTTGCGAATTTTGTGGTTCCATGTTGATTTACTGGCAGATACGTTAAATATCATGCAGCGGCTTCATCGTTTGCTGACACATATATATACGCTTAATCTTTAAAAGATAAACCAAAAGCCAAGGTGTTCTCTTCTTTCTGACATGTAATTATCCCCTTCGTATCGTAGAGAATAAAGTTCTTTCGCGCGGCGAGAACTATACCTCTTGAGGAAGAGCGAAGGTTAATTGCGATATGAGATTTCTAAGGACAATTTTTTCAAGATTCTTCTAAATGTCTGAGAACTTTAAAAAATAATTGGAAATAACAATACTAATCGTCATGCATTTTCTTTTTACTTATTTCATTCACTTAAAGATTATTGAATTATATTGAACGCGCGCGGCGCGGAATATCGCGACTTGATTCCTCCGCAATTTCTCAATACGCTTTGAAGTACGAGACGATCCGTGCTCGGATCGACTGTCAAACGGTTGCGATCATCCATCAGTGAAGCTCTTGGTCCATGAAGATGCCACTTCGGAACTATTAGACGAAGCTCTTGGATACTCCAAATCAATAATATCGACCATTAATGGTAATAGTCATTCCTACAGACGCAAGTCATCATGTTGGAAGCAATTCACATTCTCCCATTATTCGAAAAATACCACTCACTATTGTAGATACTTGAAGATTATGATTTTGGAAATATAGAGCAAAGATAGCTTTTACAGCGACCATATATTTCGAGCTAATTATTAAACTCTCGATACGATTCTTGCTCAATACTTTTCTCTTTTACTTGTTATGAATCATCCACAATTAGTTGCAAACATTATAGTATATAAAAACACAATAATATAATTATAATTACAATATATCTCTGTCAAAAGTAGGATTTATCTAGTTTTTTACGTGATGACATTGTATACTGTTACACTGTTTATGTATGCACCCATGATTTTCACGCACTATATATCACGAGGTATGAAAAGTAAGCGCGTTTGTCTTTATGTTACTAAACTAACAGACGGAACCAGCGAATCAATATCGTAAAAAATTTGCAAGCGATCGAGTTTTACAAATACTGAATTTTCTTTCGACAAGGTGTCTCGAGAGAATTTCATTTTTCAAACGAATCAATGTCCAAGTTTCAGCAGCTTGTCCTGTATATTTCATTCTTTCACTCTTCCTTTCATCATCTTTTTTAACATTTTGCTGTCATGTACAGAATCACGTAGGAAACATGAGCATATCATTTTTACACACACACACACACGCACACACACACACGCACACACACACACACACGCACACACACGCGCGCGCGCGCGCACACACACAACACATACACGCATGCACACACGGTGTATACACACTGTATTACGAACTCTATTATACATATATGTATATTTGTTACTTCTTATGTAATTAAACATCAACAAAAGACTCTTCCATTAACAGAAGAATCTTTCTCTTATCGTGTGCGTGTAAATATATCATTTTTATAATACAAAGTCGCATGTATATGTAGAAATATATGCACATATCACGTTGTATATACCTATACATATGCATACTCGAGAAAATCTTTTGGCTTACATTTTTTTTACGCAAGTCTCCATTCAGGAGATCCAAAATATCATTCTCATCAACTTCGGGCTGATCTAAGCTTTATACATTGAAATTCTCTTTGCCGGATATGAAGCGTATCCGCCCCGGAAAGCAACAATAGTAATGTAAATACGCGTTACACGCATATATTCGCGCGCGTGTACACACGCAGGCGCGAACACGCACGCACAATACATATTAATCTCTACAAATATATATCTGTAATATCTCAATGTGTATCTGTGTTCGCTTAGGAATCCATTCTTATATTTGTGTGACGATCATTGACGCATTATTGTTCTACCATATGTACGCGTCAGCTGAGAATAGCGTATATATATATATATATATATA